TGCTATACCAGAAGAGGAAAGAGCGACAGAGGTTAAAGATCTTGACCTGGATCAAGACACTCTCTCTATTGAAAGAGCTTTAGGAGCTCGCTGGTGCATCGAGTCTGACAGCTTCAGATTTAAAATCATTTTGCCTGACAAAGCACCTACCAGGAGAAACATTCTGTCCCTTGTGAGCTCTATCTGTGACCCACTGGGTATCTTGGCACCAGTGGTGCTGTCCGCCAAGAAAATCTTGCAAGAGCTCTGCAGACTGAAGACAGGCTGGGATGTATTGTTACCTGACGAGCTAGCTCATAAATGGTCCACTTGGAAGACTGCGCTACAACAGCTGGAGAACTTAAGTGTCCCTAGGTGCCTTAAGCCCGCAGGTTTTGGTAAAGCAGTATTTAACCAACTGCATCACTTTGCTGATGCCAGTGCAGAAGGTTATGGGACCGTCAGCTATTTGCTACAGAAGAACAGCAACAACGAGATGCACTGTGCCTTTATTTTAGGGAAGGCTAGAGTAGCTCCACTTAAACCCATGACTATTCCTCGCATGGAGCTTACTGCAGCCACTATGGCCGCTCGCATGGACCAGACGTTGAGATCGGAACTGCAGCTACAACTGCAACAGTCCGTATTCTGGACAGACAGCACAACAGTACAGAAGTACATCGGGAATACAACCAGCAGATTCCGCACCTTTGTTGCCAATCGTGTGGAGACCATTTTGAAGATCTCCGAACCTCATCAACGGAGGTATGTTAACACCACTCTAAATCCTGCGGATTATGCTACAAGGGGTCTGAATGCAGCGAACTTCACACGGAGCCATACTTGGTTACAGGGGCCGGAGTTTCTCACCAAACCCATAGAAGAATGGCCCAAGAACCCAGGACACACTGCAGTCATAACCACAGAGGACCCTGAAGTAAAGAAGGCTGTGGTTTGTGCTATTGTGGCTGAGGATCGAAGTGATATTGTACTGAAGGTAATACAGTACTTCTCTTCATGGATTTGTTTGAAAAGAGCTATTGCTTGGATGCTGAAAGTTAAATGCACCCTGCAAAGCTTGTATCAAAAAAGGAAAGAGTTGACCTATCGCCTTGCAACACCTGAAGTTGACAAAGAGATGAGGAACTACAAGGCAGTTCTTTGGAGGAAAAATGGTTCCAGACTCACGGTGGAGAACTTGAATGCAGCAGAGCAAGAGCTCATCCGATATTGTCAAGGAAAGACCTTTGGCAAAGAGATCGCAATGCTTCAAAGGGGTCAATATGTGAAGAAAAGCAGTAGTCTTTACAAGCTTAATCCAGTTCTCCACGACGGCATCATCAGAGTAGGAGGAAGGCTCAGCAGAGCTATTATGCCTGAAGAGTCAAAGCAATGAGAACCTGGGTCACAGTGGTCGCAATCATGTGCTGTCAAAGTTACAGCCCAAGTACTGGATCCCTGGTGCAACTTCAGCTATAAGGAGAATCCTTTCCAAGTGTCTATTGTGTCGGCGTGCTCATGGACCACCAGGGCAACAACAAATGGCTAACCTGCCTCAAGACAGAGTTTTGCCTGACGAACCTCCGTTCACAAACACCGGAGTGGACTACTTTGGCCCATTCGAAGTGAGACGTGGAAGAGGTTCAGTGAAAAAATACGGTGTGATTTTTACATGCCTTACCATCTGTGCAGTACACTTGGAATTAGCGTCTTCACTGGATACAGACTCCTTCATAGCTGCTCTTCGTCGCTTTATTGCTAGAAGAGGTCAGGTGCAAAACCTATGTTCAGACACACCTATGTTTAACACACAGCCCTTACAGAAGCTGTCCTGGGTAATAACCTATTAAGCTACAGAGTAACTTTGCCCCACTTAATTCTAATATGAATCAAAGTGAAGTCTGTGAATGTATTATCTTGTTGTCCTGAAAGCAACACATTGCTGTGTGTGATCTAGTTTTCAAGCAGTGACTAAGAAAACAGTCCGGACCTGAACCCAATAGAACATCTCTGGAGAGACCTGAAAATGGCCGTGCACCAACATTCCCCGTCCAACCTGGTTGACCTTGAACACTTCTGCCATGAAGAATGGAAGAAACACCCAGAAGAAAGGTGCTGAGCTTGCTGCTTCATTCTCACTGTCGATCCTTTGAGGAACTACTCACACACACGACAACCTGTTTAAATAACCAGAGATCTTTGATTTGCTAAAGGTAACATTTCATTTTCCAGGTCAGGCGGGCTCGTGTCTGCGTGTCTTTTCCACCATGCCGTTCTTCTTCCTGTAATACAAGAGCCTGCTCTTACGCCAGTCGTAACGATAAATCCTATTGGCTGTTAACGATGGTGGCAATGTCCAGTATGCCTCTGGACCCTCCA